AAGTCCGGTGGAGGGGGGAGGGAAGGAGTGCGGTAGGGGAAGAGGCGGTAGAAGGGGACTGACTCGTCGAACGTGACGTCCAGGGAGGACAGAACACGACGAGAGGAGGGGTGGTAGAACTGCCACCCTAGGGCGTCAGGGGGGAAGCCAAGGAAGACACAGGGAGCAGCACGAGGGGACAGCTTGTCCGCAGACAAGTCGCGGACAAACGCCCGAGATCCCCAGACACGGAACGCCGACGCATCGCCAACCTTCCCCGTCCACATCAAGACTGGGGACATCGCGGGCCGAGAGACCCTGGGGTGAAGGTTGATCTGATGCGCGGCGTACCGAACCGCAAACGGCCACAGAAAATGGGGGGCAGCCGCATGCACCATGGACGTACGGGCGACGTCCATGACAATGCCGATGCGGCGCTCAGCATCCCCCGCCTCCACTGCCGCCACTAGCACCCCCACCCCCGCCACCCCCTCCACCGCCACCCCCACTCCCTCCGCCGCCTCCACCTCCACCTCCACCGCCCCCGCTGGCCCCACCCGCTCCCTTGCCCCCCTTGCCCTTGCCAGAGCGGCGTCTCCCGCTAGGGGCAGACCCCGCACCGACCGACTCAAGACCAACGAGGTCGGCCGCAGCGGCAGAGGCAATAGAGGGCAGGAGAGGGGAAGGAGAACACCCCTCAAAGATGGGGGCGTGGGGTTCACCTCGAGAGGCTCCTACAGCAACTATGCTCTTCTCCGCCGCTAGGAGGGCCTTCTCGAGGCTATCGACTGTGAGGGTGGTGGGACAGACCGCGAGGAAGTGGTCCTGGACTACACGAAGGGAGTCAGGGAGGCGAGTGACTAAAAAGTAGAGAGTGATGTACATGGGGGGGGGGGGGTTCTTGGCGCAGAAGTCAGCAGGAAGCGCAGCGCGGTAGCGAGTGTCACTAGTGCGGAGGTGCGTAATGAGATCAGCGACAGTGGGAAAGGCAGCAAGGTCAGGGAAGAGGAAGGGGAGCATGAGGCGGCTCAGTGCAGCAGTGGCAGGGGAGGAGTAGCGCACAACTACAGCGTCGTACAAGGTCTGGGCACTCTTGTACTGGCTAAAGTGCGCGCGCTCAGCGGTAGGCAGGTGGCGACGCACAGCAAGACGTGCAGCAGCATCGCGCGTGGCCCACTGTGAGCGAACAGTGGCGTCAGCATCAGCAGCAGGGGCAGGGACGGCGCTAGAGGTGAGGTCAAAGAGAGAAAGACCGTCTGCCCTATCGCACTGTAAGAACAGCTGCAGGTCGTCGACCCAGACCTCAAAGTCAATGGCGCGACCCTTAGGGTCAAAAGCTAGGACACTAGGGGTAGCCATGACGACAGACTAGCAGTGCAAGCAGTGCGGGAAGGGGTACGCAGTAGCAGTGGAGCTGTGCTCACCAGACAGGACGGGTCGGGCAGCTCAGCAGCACAGCAATACGACAGCTCTGTCGGCCCAGTAGCAACAGCAGCCCCACAGGACCAGCAGCTCGGCTCCTCAGGCGGCTCGGGCGGCTCGGGTGGCTCGGGCGACTCGGGCGGCTCGGGCGGCTCGGGCGGCTCGGGCGCTCGGCGATACAGGCGACTCGGGTGGCTCGGGCGGCAACGGTGGCTCGGGCAGCTCGGCTCCTCATCTGCGTAGGCGGCACGGGCGGCTCGGGCGTCGAAGGGCCGGGACAGCGTGGCGCGAGGGCGGCTGGGAGCGGGACCGGGGTGGGCGGCTCACAGGTGGCTCGGGGCCGGGACAGGCGGCTCACGGGCGGCGCACAGGCGGCTCACGGGTGGCGCACAGGCGGCTCACGGGCGGTTCACGGGTGGCTCGGGGCCGGGACGGACGGCTCACGGGCGGCTCACGGGCGGCTCACGGGCGGCTGACGGGTGGCTCACGGGCGGCTCACGGGCGGCTCACGGGCGGCTCACGGGCGGCTCACGGGCGGTTCACGGGTGGCTCGGGGCTGGGACGGACGGCTCACGGGCGGCTCACGGGCGGCTGACGGGTGGCTCACGGGCGGCTCACGGGCGGCTCACGGGCGGCGCTTTGGGCGGCGCACGGGCGACTCACGGACGGCTCATAGGCGGCTCACGGGCTGCGCTTCGGGCGGCTAAGGGCGGCGCACAAGCGGCACGTGGGCGGTTAAGGGCGGCGCGCGGGCGGAGCGTGGGCGGCCTAAGGCCTGGCGGGCGGCGCGCGGGCGGCTAAGGGCGGCGCGCGGACGGCGCGTGGGCGGCCTGGGGCCGGGCGAGCGGCGCGCGGGCTGCTTAGGGCGGCGCGCGGGCTGCTTAGGGCGGCGCGCGGGCTACCAAGGGCGGCGCGCAAGCTGCACGGGGCCGGGACGGGCGGCGCGCTAGCGTCTAGGGCGGCGCGCTGGCTGTGTGAGGCCTGAACAGGCGGCGCGCGGGCGGCTAAGGGCCGGTCGACAGAGGTAAGAGAGAGCCCGGAGCGCGCTCCGGCTTAAAAAAAAAAGTTCGAAGTAGTGGTGGGCCCTAAGCACAGTTCCCACAGGGGAACCTGCTCGATACCATGAGAAGAATAGAACAAGAATGGAATGACTATGAACGAAGTGAGTACAAATAGGAAACCCTAATTGGGTTATACCCCCTATGGGATACCCCACTATAGCCTACACAAATAAGTAAGCTATAATGTTCTGACACTATGTGCTGAAATAGCGGGGATAATTGCGCAATCGGTAAAAGGGGCTATGCGAGACCAATTTGATGAGTTTTTAGAACGTACCCAAGGGATGGTTGAGAGAGCTCAGGATGCCCGAGCCTCCAGGAAGCGTAGAAGTACGCCGCCAGGCGAAATCGACGACGAGTCGGAGTAAAGCCCGCATCGCGCGGCGAGAAATGCGGGGCTTCCGCAACGGGTCCTTCCAGCCACCAAGTGTTGCGCTCACGAGGTTCATTCAGGCGGTGACGAAAGCCGAGGATGAGGTCGATGTTGTGAAGCACGATGCAGACGGAGACGACCTACGGGGCGCGGAAGACGTCGCACTCGAGGCGCCCGTCCAGGATGCACCATTTGGTCTTCAGCCTCCCGTTCACCTGCTCCACGATCATTCGAGTGCGGGACTGCTGGAGGTTCCAGACTCGCTGCTCGTCAGGAAGTGCGCGACCGGGAAGGGCACGGTAGGGTGTGTAGATGTAGGGCCTCAAACCATAGGCAGCGTCCGCTACTAGCGTGTAGTCCAATATCCCTCCTTCAATTTTAGTTCTTGCAGGGCTGTTCATGAAAACCCGAGCGTCGTTGACGCTTCCGGGGTAGCCTACAAAAAAGTCCCAGATGAGACCCATACTGTCGCAGATTAGTTGGCAAATAATAGAAAAGAAACCTTTCCTATTTCTGAAGTCTTCGGAATGTGGTCCCATGCCACGGCAATGTATGTAGGTCCCGTCAATGGCGCCTACCACCCTAGGTATTCCGGCTTGAAGGCGAAACTCTGTCTCGAACAACTGCATCATGTCCATGTCTGGCCACACGACCCACTTGGGCAGGAGAACTTCGTTGACGAAAAAAACGAACCTCGCAAACAGCTTGTGGGCGTGGGACCAAGAGTAGCCGAAGTGAAGCCCAATTTCGCGAAATGTGAGACCATGCCCAATCCTGCTAAGTCCCATGGCAACGAATACAAAGTTATGCACAGGATGCTTAAGTGTAGCGAAATGGCTGCGCTGATACTGGCGCACTAAGTAAACGAAAACGCGTTTGTCAACCCGCAAATACTCATAGAAATTGTCCTCGGGCAGGGATGTTATCAGTTGAAACCAACGCACACGTGCGTCAAGGCGGTCGCCAAGCACGAACACCCGGGTCTGCCTCAGAGTGAAGGCCGAGACGAGCGTGAGGAGTGTCGTGCCAACAGCGTTGAGAACGGGAAGCATCACCATCTGCAAGTACCCCTGCCATACGATGCCGAGAAAGCGGACCAGCTGTAGGGTTGTCATGTTGGGCGAATGACGAGTATACAAGGTGTTGCCACGGGGGCTATTTGTACCCTGGTTACACACTCGGCGCGGAAGGTGAGTTGGAGCTCTAGGTCCTTGTAAACCGAGGCGCAAAATGTTGATGTGGCGCACCGTCAAGACGAGCGAACGGGGTAACCTATGATGTTGACGTGCGGCTCGGCTCGTTTTTACAAGTTCGAATGTCGGGGTTCGACCTTGTATGTGTGTGTGATTTTTTACAGTGTGGTAAGCCCGGTGTTCGAACTTCGATAGAAGGAAATTAGAACTTCTTTCGTTGTAAGTTAGAGACTAAAATTCTCCCTAAAAACATTAACTTTTACAAATTTCAAAGACCTCACGCGCCCTTAGAGGTGAGTTGCGACATGTTTCGCGAAAGAAATTCGTGCATTGCGTGGAAGGCGACGTATTTGTCATTTCGCGATTGTGAAGATGTGACGGGAACATGGAGGGATGTCGGATGCCTGACGGATGGTCCAATCTGGTTGAACATGGTTCAAAAGATTATACTGGGTATGCATTGCACTGGGATGGAAAGTCAATCGTGACATCCCCCCTGCATTTGTTCGCGGATGAGTCAGTGCGGTTCAGACGGCGAGTACGAGGTAGAGAACGGTATGTTGCTGTTAGTTTCTGAATCACTAACTCTAAATTTCTCTCATCTTGCAGTAATCGTGTTGCGAGGGCGCTTATGCAGAATGTCTGTTGCAAATCCCAGTGTCAGATGGGGAAGGGAAGCCGAGCCGTTGCGGTAGTTTATTTCTATGGCTTCAGGAATCAGGCAAGAGGTTGCTGCACTCTCAGTAGCTCGCCCTCTCCCGTTCCAGCAAAACAGACTCAATATCTTACCTGCTTGGATTGCCCTCGAGAATGCACTTTCGTCACTCCCACGAGAGTTACGGCGGCTTGGAGTAGGATCACAGCTTGTTATATCAGCGCAACGAAACCAAGATACGAATCGAGATCTGACTGAGACGGATTTTTTTATACCGGAATCGAGGCCTAGATTCATCGTGTCGCAGCGGAACGGCAATGCTGGGCGTGGGCGAAGTCGTGTGGGTGAAGTACCGCGGCATGGGCGCCGTCTGGCCATCGCAGATTGTGTCGCGCGACGATCTGCCTGCGGTCGAGCGACGGCGTTGACGAGACGACGACCACGTGCCCGTGCGACTCCTCGGAGGAGATGTATGGTGCGAATCGTGCTTCCCGAATTGCCGTGAACGTTTTGCTCGTTGGAGACAAGTAACACGCGGTGCGATGTTTCTTCATGGCGATCCTAGGAACTAGTTTTGAGCTGCACGGATCAACCGTGCGATTCATGCCTTGTTCCGCGGAACACACTTATTAGTCCAGCAGAAACGCGTATAGTGCAGGAAGAACTGTTAAGCGCATGTTTTCAGTGTACTAGCGTGAGCACATGACGTTCGATGTTGTTAATGTTTGTTCTTTCCATTTATCTCCCCCTCTCTCTTTACTGTCTCGCTCCACTTGCTCTGCGGCGTGGCAGTGTGAGATGACGGCGTGGGTGAGTCCGAGCGCCATATTCATGTGGACCAACGCCAACACCGCCAAGTTCAGCCAGCAGACGCGATGCCGCAAGGTATGAGAAATCTGACGCAATCTGACACGATCTGGCACGATTTGACGCGATCTGACGCGTTCTGACACGATCTGAGACGATTTGACGCGATCTGACGTGATTTGATCTGGCTTGAAGTAACTGCTGTGCGTCTCAAAATCTCGTTCCGTAGCGTCAACTTGAAGCGTTTCGCTGGGGATTGGCTCGCTTTCTGCCTTGTATCTTGTATGCGGCGCGGGTTGCTCATGGACTGACTGACTGACCGTGCGTGCACCTCTGCCACTCAGCAGAAGCAGCAGCAGGGCGACGGTTTGAGTGCACAGCAGCCGGTGCACCTGTCACAGGAGATACATGACGAGGAGGGCTGTTGTGTGCACTGCCGCGTGCATGACTACACGCGCAGCTTTGGCCCCAGGTACACGCTTTGACGTTTCAATCAGCAGGAACACGCTCTCACGTTTCAACTGCCTGGGCTTTCTCGTTTGTTCCCCACTGTATTTCTCGCTGAGAAACGTTTTCCGTGAGTAGCCTCTCTGCTTTCAGTTCAACGCAGCTCAGGATTCACTATTCCTCTCTGTCCCCCCTGTGCTCACCTTTTCCTCCCTCCTCCCTCTTTGCACCCTTGTGTGTGCTTGCGTGTGCGTGTGTGTGCACGTTGCTGTGCTCGTGAATCCACCTCACAGGTGCATCCTCACCTGTTCATGCTGTTGCGAAGAATGGCATGTGAGGTGAATCTCCCTCACTCACATCCCTCCTTTTCCGTACAGTCCCCATGCAACCCCATGTTCTCCAAATGTCCCCTACTTACTGCTCTGTCTGCTCATCTCTTCCGCTTATTCCTTCCTTTCTTTCCCTACCGTTTCTCCGTCACTGTTTCTGTCATACCTCTGATCAATCCCAAAATTCATTGCCCACATCCCCTTCTCTTCCCACCACTGCCATGCCAACCCATCCATCCATTGCCCGCTCCCATCAACCCCTTCCCCCGTCCCTTGATTCCCATACGCCATGCATCGTCAGCTGTGCGGAGGAGGTGCAGGGAGTAAAGGTGCACGCCTCAGTGCGCAACAGCGATGTGGACTGGCATTGCTCCCCCTCCTGCGCCAAGGTCAGCCTCAACCACACACACATGCTGCCATGCTGCCTTGCCTAGTTCTGCTCCTCTCACCTACGCCGTGCCGTACCGTACCGTGCCGTGCCATGCCGTGCCGTGCCATGCCGTGCCGCGCCATGCTCGACCGTGCCGTACCGTGCTGCACCGTGCCTTGCAGGTGGCGGCGGAGCTGAAGGGCGTGGAGGGCAAGAGAGGGGAGATCCCTGATGGCACTCCCTTCTCCATGCAGCTCGCCCAATACAACGAGAACCACAGAGGTGATTCGCACAGGGAGCAAGGGGCGGGCAGGGGTATGGGTGGGTGGGGAGGCGGAGTAGGGGTCAATGGAAGGTTGGGGAGGGGAGGCGTTGTCAGGGAATTGGGGTGGGTTTGGTTCAGGGGATGGGAGGCAGGACAAATCAGCTGTTACATTGCATGTGCCCACCGCATTGATGCTAATTACCCCACTCGCCTTGCTCCACTCCCCTTGCCCCGCTTGCCTTTCCTCACTCGCCTCACCTCATGCCACTAGCTGACCACGCCTCACCAACCTTCACCACCATTCCTCTCCCTGTCCCCCGCACCCACCGTTGCCAGGCTCCCGGCAATCCATAGCAGCAGCACTCAAGGTACGGCCTTCCCTGCCCTCTCTCCCCCTCCCTCCCTCCTCCTCTCCCATACCCAACTGCTCCTTTCGTCTTCCATCTGCCATCCCCTGTTTCTCTCCTGCCCGTGTACCATCACCGCTGTCAACCGCAACCAACTCCCTCCAGTCACACGGGTCAATGTCGTGCCTGCGCTCCTGTTCCTGGGGGCGAGGCTGGGAGAGAGGCTTGGAGGGGATGGGGTGGGGGAGGCTTTGGGAGAGGCCTAGGGAGGGGCTGGGGCTGGGGGAGAGGTTGGGGGAGAGTGCGAATGGCACAGTCAGGGAGATTGAGCGTCGGAATCGCAGACACAGGGTAGGCGAGCAGTAGTTGTCATTTATGTGTCTTCTGTCCCTTGCCCCATCATAAGGGAGTATGTACCTTTCGGACTGATTCTGTAGTTGGATTGGATAGCTAGGTAGTACGTCATCATAATGTGAGAATGTATGTCACCATAGCTAGATTTCTTCCCAAATGTGATTGTTAGAAGATGTGCTGCAAGAGCATGTTACCACAATTAGAAAAAGATCGTTCAAACAAATCAACGAACCAAATCAGGAGGGGACCTCACACAGATGGTTGTTTCTCAATCGCGGTACCGTAACAACACTGGCGTGATGCCTGATTGCCTGATGTGCATGGAACCACTCAGTTTGTCACGTCATCCTATACAAGCCGTAACTAACAACCCTACTCTACGCTCTCAGCTACAGAGCAGCATCTTGCTACAGTACCGTCCGGCCCGGCCAACTGCCATGCCAGCCTTTTCCTGCCTAGGGAAAATCAACTCCTTCCTAACCATAATGGACAAGGCGTGCAGGACAGCAAGGCTTGTGCCACTTCACACCGTCTCATAAGCCTGCTGCTGTGGCTACTTCTTTAGAAAGAGTGTTTTCTTGTTGACGGTGGTGGAGGCGTGCAGGATGGCGAGGTTGTGGCGCAGGTGGGGGTTGTGGGTCATGTTGTGAGCCCCGCACCTCGTCCACCAGCTTGTGAGACGAGCTGGTCCACCAGCATCGCCTCCTGCGCCTGCCGCCCTGCTGCCCTCTCCACTGCTGCCCCCACCTGCTGCTCTGCTGCCCGCCGCTTGCTTCTCTCTGCTTTTGCCTCCTGGTGTGGGATGGAGGGGTGGGTGATAGAGGGTGGGTGCAAATGGGTGGGTGGAAGCAGGTGGGAATGGGAGTGTAAGAGTGGGTGGGTAGGTGGGTAGGAGTGGGTGCATGCAAATGGGCTTCCATGGGGATAGGTGCTGATCCTGATGCGCTGATCCTGATGCCGAAGCAGATGCTGATGCTGATGCTGATGCTGATGCTGATGCGCTAAAGCTGATGCTGATGCTCATGCTGATGCGCTGATGCTGATGCTGATGCTGATGCTTATGCGCTGATGCTGATGAGCTGAAGCTGATGCTGATGCTAATGCTGATTCTAATGCTGATGCTGATGCGCTGATGCTGATGCTGATTCTGATGCTGATGCGTTGATGCTGATGCGCTGAAGCTGATGCTGATGCTGATGCTGATGCGCTGCTACTGCTGTTGCCGATGCAGATGCTTATGCTGATTCTGATGCGCTGATGCTGATGCGGATGCAAATGCTGATGCACTGATGCTGATGCGCTGATGCTGATGTGCTGAAGCTGATGCAGATGCTGATGCTGATGCTGATGCAAATGCTGATGCGCTGATGCTGATGCGCTGATACTGATGCTGATGCGCTGATGCTGATGCGCTGATGCTGATGCGCTGATGCTGATGCGCTGATGCTGATGCTGATGCTGATGCTGATGCTAATGATGATGGGGAACCTGATGGGGTACCTGATGGGGAACCTGATGGGGAACCTGATGGGGAACCTGATGGGGAACCTGATGGCGAACCTGATGGGGAGCCTGATGTCGAACCTAATGGGGAACCTGATGGGGAACCTGATGGGGAACCTGATGGCGAACCTGATGAGGAACCTGATGGGGAACTTGATGGGGAACCTGATGGGAAACCTGATGGGGAACCTAATGCGGAACCTGATGGGGAACCTAATGCGGAACCTGATGGGGAACCAAATGGCGAACCTGATGGCGAACCCGATGGGAAACCTGATGGGGAACCTGATGGGAAACCTAATGGGGAACCTAATGGGGAACCTGATGGGGAACCTGATGGGGAACCTGATGGGGAACCTGATGGGGAACCTGATGGCGAACCTGATGGCGAACCTGATGGGGAACCTGATGGGGAACCTGATGGGGAACCTGATGGGGAACCTGATGGGGAACCTGATGCGGAACTTGATGCGGAACTTGATGCGGAACCTGATGGGGAACCTGTGTCAACGGGAGTTGTTGTTGGCCCCGTCCTCGCTTGGGCGGAGCCGACTACGTGGTCCGGTGTACGAGAGATACAGCCGACTTGTAGCAATGGGCGACGCCGACTTGGGCGAGCGGGTCGACGGGGTTGGTCGACTTGCACGTGGCCACTGCAATGTCACCGACTTTCAAGGTCACCGACTTGCAAGGTCACCGACTTGCAAGGTCACCGACTTGCAAGGTCGCCGACTTGCAAGGTCGCTGACTTGCAAGGTCGCCGACTTGCAAGGTCGCCGACTTGCAAGGTCGCCGACTTGCAAGGTCGCCGACTTGGTGACGCCGACTTCTGGTAGCCAACTTGGGTGGTCGGCTGACGTCTGGGCTGGTCGACGTGGAGCTGGTCGACCAGGAGTGACGTCGACCTGGAGCTGGTCGACCAGGGGTGTGGTCGACCTGGTGAGGTCGAATGGAGGTGGCCGTCGACTTGGGAGGTCGACGGGCACATACAGGAGCACCTGGTCGACGTGGTTGCCCGGTCGACCAGGTTACCTTGGTGACGAGATTCTGCGGAGGAGTGTGACGGTCGCCCAGGCGAAGTTGGCGAGTCCGACCTCGGCGGTGGTATCCCGAGGTCGACATGGCGGATCAGGTAGAGTCATCAGCACGAGGATGACTTGGTGTGTGCGTTGTGCAGGTGACGAGGCTCAGCCCGCCAATCCTCTACGAGCACCTGCGAAGCGGGTGCGCTGCTGTTCTGCGGGAGCAATGCTGGCACGCCGTCAACCTGCGACGTTGGCACGCCGTCGACCTTGCACTGCTGGAGCGTGGTCCACCAAGTCGTGCTGGAACGCGGTCGACCATGCTGCGCTGGCAGTCGACCGACCTGAATGCTAGCTTTGATGTAGTCTTGCCATGCCAACTTCGTTTGACCATTGTTGTCAACGTTTCTTAGTGAAACTCTTGCCAACTTGCCCCGTGAACTAGCAAGCAGTGTGTGCACTAGGAAAACGACCAAGGACCAACGAACGAAGAGATCACATGAGCACCCGTGCCTAGCCTGTAGTCTAGCTCCCGTTGTAGTAGTTAGCTCCGCATGGTGCAGTGAGCGTGGACAACACGCGACTTACCTTTCAGTCAGGTCGACGTAGAGGTCACATACCTAAGTTGTTTGTAGGCCGGCAGCCGTGTAGTCACTAGCGTGCGAGTAGGTGACGCCAAGGGAATGGAGACCCTTGAAGCACAGGTGGAGGACGCGAGGACACGCCATGGGGCCCAGGAGTATGGAACGATTCCTTGGGTGGTTGTGGAGGCTGGCATTCGCACCATGTGGGCGACGTTGCACCCTTCTCAACCTGTGTCTCCTCGACCGGTGAACACAGAGGGCGGCGTCGACATGGGCGTCAACGTCGGTGGTGACCAGGTCGGCAGAAGTGCGGGAGGCACGTCAAGGCAGAGAGGTGTGATACACGCCGATGAAGTCGGCGGCGTTCAGGCGCGGAGGATGCGGTCAACGGCGGCTGCAGGCACCTCGCAGGGCGACGTCGGAGGTCGACGAAGCGGACTGTTGCCGATGTCGGCAACCCAGGTGACGGCGGGGGGGATAGCACCGAGCTACGGCTACTTCATGTTTACGCCGGATAGGATCTTGGTCACCCCGCCGCTCGTTGGTCGACAAGACATTCTCACCTAGAAGGAGGCGATCGAGCCTCAGCTAGAGATGGCCGGGCTGATTAGCTTTGCTCGAGGCACCGTGGCGACGCCGGACGACCCCGACTTGCGTACGGAGTTTCGCGCCGTGCAGCTATTGACCTTCTCGGTCATCTCGCGGTGCTGCTCGCCGGGCATGCAGATCGCCTTAAAGTGGTGCCGAGAGTACCTCGACGCCGGCCACCAGGCGTGGCACTTCATCGAGTCGACCTACCAAGTCACCAACGACTTGTTCATCGCCCAGCTGGAGGGACAACTGACGCACCTGCGTATGGGCGACGAGGAGACAGCGACTGACTACTGCAACTGGGCCCGGCGAATATTCGCCACCATCAGGATGGCCGCCGCGCAGTACTCGACGGCGTTGTGCGTCACCCATGTCATGCAGGGACTCTCAAGCAGCTACAACCTGCTGAAGCGGCTGTCCATGGCGCCGAGCATGAGGGCGGCGCTCAACAAGGACAACTTGACCTTGTACATCCTGCAGGACGAGGTGATGCAGGAGGCAGAGCCGTCACAAGAGCTCTTGGCGCAGGCCAACTTTGTCGCCCCGACGAAGCAAGGAGGTCGACCGAGGCAGCGCGGACAGTCGGGCGGCAGTGGTAGCAGTGGCTGGAAGCCGGCCAAGGAGGTCGACAAGAAGAAGTCGACCAAGAATAGCGGTCGAGGAGAAGGAGGTCGACGTCGGGAATGCTGGCTGTGCGGCGACCCCGACCACCTCTCCTTCGACTGCCCCGACCGCAGTGACTCCGACGACGACGACGCCAAGGGTGGCCGCGGGAGGTCAGGCAGTCGTCGCCCTCGGAGAGGAGGGAACAAGCCGTGCAAGGAGACGAAGTCGACCAAGTCAACCTCGGCGAAGGACGCCGACTCCTCTGCTGGCGGCAAGGCGCGGGACGACAAGACGGCGTCGTGCTCGCTGGTCGGCGTCGTGGAGCCGACCGTCTCGCTGGCGCCGGAGGCCGGAGAGGACTTTTAGGCGGTGGCGGCAGCTGTGCAGGCAAACCCGGCAGTGGTCCTGCTCGACAGCGGCTGCTCTCATCACCTGATGGGGACGAAGGAAGTCTTCGTCGACCTGCAGCCGAGCGGCTCCATAAAGCACGTGCACGACTTCAATAGGGCGCTGCAGGACTCCTAGGGCCGCGGCACCGTCTCCCTGCAAGGGGAGGCCGGAAAGCAGGTGCTCATCCCCGACGTGCTGTACGTCCCGGGTGTGCGGGCAAACCTGTTGTCGCCTGGCAAGCTGAAGGAGCATGGCGTGAAGCTACAGGAGGACGGCGACGGGATGCTGCTTGTCTTGACAACGGGAGAGGTGCTCGATCGGGCGACGTACTCCGGGCGTGTCCTCTGCACCGACTTGCGTCCCTACTCAACGAGGTCGACGTTGACCACGTCGGAGGTTGTGGCCCTACGGGCGATCGTCTCGAAGACGAAGTCGACGCCGGACAGGATACATGCGAGGCTTGCACACGACGGCATGGACACCATCAGGAGCTCGGCGAAGAACGAGGTCGCCATTGGGCTAGACCTCAAGTCGGCAACGGGAGCCGACTCACCGTGTCTCTCGTGCGTCAGCGGGAAGCTGGCCCGACACACCTTCCCCGACCAAGGCTCCGACGCCGACGACGTGCTGGCCATCGTGCACATCGACCTGTGCGGGCCATTCTGTGTGGCTGCCAAGGACGGCAGCTTGTACTTCCTACTGCTCAAAGACCGCAAGACCCACTTCGTGTGGGTGAGGCCGGTCGCCAAGAAGTTGGATGTGCTGCTGGAGTTCCAAAAGTGGCTGGTGTTGGTGGAGAGGCAGACGAAGAAGTCGGTGCTCATGTTGCGCTCAGACCGAGGAGGGGAGTTCCTCGGGAAGAAGTTCACCGACTTTGTGGATGGACAGGGGATTGTCCACGACCTGACCTGCCCGTACACCCCGCAGCAGAACGGCATGGCGGAGCGGGAGATGAGGACGGTGGTGGAGTCGGTGCGGACGATGCTACTGCACATGGGCGTGCAGCACCAGTGGTGGCACCTCGCTCTTCGGCAGGCCGTCTGGGTCCGCAACTGCCTTGAGAGGTCGACGCTGCCGCCGGGGACAACGCCGTACCAGCTGCTAACAGGGCAGAAGCCCGACTTGTCGCTGGCCCGGGTGCGGGGCTGCATGGCGCAGTTCCTTGTCCCCGAGCAATAGCGTGGTGGGAAGCTGAAGCCGAAGGCCCGGTGGGGCCTTCACCTCAGCGTGTCGGCGGAGAGCAAGGGCTGGGAGCTCCTCGACATCGACGCCAACCGGGTGGTCACCACGTCGGACGTGGTGTTTTACGAGGATCTGTCGCTGGAGGTGGAAGTTGGAGCACGGGACGGTGTCAGGTCGGACGCCGACTCCCCAGCCGTCCGACTTCTCGACGGCGACGTTGCCTCTACTCGCCGAGGTCGGTGAGCTTGCTGGTGAGGACGTCGAGGTCGTCTGTCCTCCTTCCCCTCCCCCTACGACCCCTGCCCCTCCCCTTGTGGCCAACCTACACGGGCTGACTCCTATTTTGGCCTCCTTCAATGAGGGGAGTAGTGGGACGTCGCCTTTGGCGCCGGCCAAGGGCATCGCTGGTGGCCGACGTGTCGAGCGGCAAGTCGACGTGGGAGCGCAGGTCGAGGAGGAGCAGCCAACTTGGGTGAAGCCGACGAAGAAGACACCAGTAGGGCAGCAGCCGACAGGGGAGCAGGCAGCGGTGACGTCGACCATGGAGCAGTCGGCAACCGGGCAGTCAGCAGAAGAGCCGACTACAAGGGAGAGGTCGACCGAGGTGCAGCAGGACGACGAGGGCGGCGAAGCCGGTGGTGAAGGGGAGAAGTCCACCGACAGCGACGTGGTGGAGGTTCGGCCTGAACCCCGGAAGTCAGGCCGATTTCGGAGGCCGCCCGACTTCTTCGTCCCCGCTGCCTTCACCACGGTGTACGACGTGGACGACGACGACCTGGCGTATGACGACGCCGAGGAGGATGAGGAGTTTCCGGAGCTCGACCCTGACATGCATGCCGACCCCGAGCACCGTTGGGACATCTCGACAATGACGGTGAGGGAGGCGTTGGCGAGCTGGAAGGGCCCGGCGGTGAAGGCCGCCATGGAGGAGGAGATCCGCAGCCTCATCAACATGGGCACTTGGGAGCTAGTCAAACGCCCGCCGGGAGTGAACATCATGAAGAACCGGTGGGTGTTGACGATGAAGTACCACGTCGACGACTCCGTCGAGCGCGAGAAGGCGAGGCTGGTCGTGAAGGGCTTCACCCAGGTGTATGGTGCCGACTACGACGAGACGTTTGCGCCGGTGGGTAGCTACGTCACGCTGAGGATCTTCCTCAGCATCGTCGCCATCCTCAACCTCAACCTGATACTTGGCGCTCAACGACGTGCTAGTCGACGCTGGGTGGAGGAAGAGCCAGGTCGACGAGGCTCTCTACTTCAAGGTCGGCAACGACGGAGTGGCCTGCTGGGTGTTGATCTATGTCAACGATCTGTTTGCCGCCAGCAGCAGCACCAAGATGCTGAAGGAGCTGAAGGAGCTGCTAGAGTCCGCCTTCAAGCTGCGTGAGATCTCGAGGGTGCAGAAGAACCTCGGGCTGGAGATCGTCCGCGACAGGTCGGCGGGGAAGTTGTGGCTGCACCAGCAGGGCTATGCCGACAAATTGCATAGGCGCTTCATCGGCGAGGAGAAGACCGGGCGCACCCCGAAGACGCCGATCTCGGTCAACGCCTACGTCGAGCTCTCCTTCGACGATGAGGAGGCACAGGAGCGACATGAGGAGGAGTACCGGCAGAAGGTCGGCTCGCTGCAGTTCGCGGCGACGACGACGAGGCCTGACATCGCCTTTGCCTGCAGCAAGCTGGGGAGCGGCCTCACGGTGAGGAGCGACCAGGACTGGCGCGAGGTCGACCGCCGCCTCGCCTACCTCGCCAACACGCGTGACACCGCCCTGGAGTTTGGCGGTGAACCTGAGTCGCTGGAGCTAGTCGGCTACGTGGACGCCGACGACGCCGGTAACAAGCAGAACAGGACGAGCACGGGCGGATACGTGTTCGTCTACGGAGGGGCCGCAGTCTCTTGGTCGAGCCAGCGCATCAAGTGCGCGACGTTGTCGTCAACCGAGTCAGAGTACGTGGCAGTCACCGAAGCCGGGAAGGAGGGACGCCGACTTCGCTTCCTCCTTGCAGAGTTCCGGCAACTCGATGCCGGGAAGCCGACCATCCTTCGGGTGGACAACAAGTCGGCCATCACGGTCGCCGAGGGCATGGGGTTGACGGGCAACCTCAAGCACATGGAGCGGCGATAGGCCTAACTGCAGCACATGGTGAGGCGCGGGAAGTTCTCGCTAAGGTATATTCCAACCCTCAAGTTGCCGGCCGACTTTCTTACGAAGGCGCTGCACTATCCGACTTTCAACCGGTGCTCCGTCGCCATCGGCCAGATGCGCTTGGCTGATGTGGGCGACGAAGGTGATGATGTGCAGCAGTAGGTGCCATGCCCTCTTGCATAGCTGGTGCGGTGGACGACGTGCTGTGTGTTGGGTGCACGTCGACGAGCTATTCTCAGAGCAGTGATGCCGTGTGGGCTGGGGGCCCAAGCGTGAACGCGGCAGGGGAGTGTCAACGGGAGTTGTTGTTGGCCCCGTCCTTGCTTGGGCCGAGCCGACTATGTGGTCGACTGTACGAGAGATACAGCCGACTTGCAGCAGTGGGCGACGCCGACTGGGGCGAGCGGTTGACAGTGTTGGTCGACTTGCACGGGGCCACTGCAATGTCACCGACTTTCAAGGACACCAACTTGCAAGGTCACCGACTTGCAAGGTCGCCGAATTGCAAGGTCGCCGACTTGCAAGGTCGCCGACTTGGTGACGCCGACTTTTGGTAGCCGACTTGGGTGGTCGGCTGACGACTGGGCTGGTCGACGTGGAGCTGGTCGACCAGGAGTGATGTCGACCTGGAGCTGGTCGACCAGGGGTGTGGTCGACCTGGTGAGGTCGAATGGAGGTGGCCGTCGACTTGGGAGGTCGACGGGCACATACAGGAGCACCTTGTCGATGTGGTTGCCCGGTCGACCAGGTTACCTTGGTGACGAGATTCTGCGGAGGAGTGCGTCGGTCGCCCAGGCGAAGTTGGCGAGTTCTACCTCGGCGGTGGTATCCCGAGGTCGACATGGCGGATCAGGTGGAGTCATCAGCACGAGGATGACTTGGTGTGTGCATTGTGCAGGTGACGAGGCTCAGCCCGCCAATCCTCTGCGAGCACCTGCGAAGCGGGTGCGCTGCTGCTCTGCGGGAGCAATGCTGGCACGCCGTCAACCTGCGAAGTTGGCACGCCATCGACCTTGCACGGCTGGAGCGCGGTCCACCAAGTCGTGCTGGAACGCGGTCGACCATGCTGCGCTAGCAGTCGACCAACCTAAATGCTAGCTCTGATGTAGTCTTGCCATGCCAACTTCGTTCGACCATTGTTGTCAACCATTCTTAGTGAAACTCTTGCCAACTTGCCCCGTGAACTGGCAAGCAGTGTGTGCATTAGGAAAACGACTAAGGACCAACGAACGCAGCGATCACATGAGCACCCGTGCCTAGCCTGTAGTCTAGCTCCCGTTGTAGTATTTAGCTCCGCAACATGATGGGGAACCTGATGGGGAACCTGATGTGGAACCTGATGCGGAACCTGATGCGGAACCTGATGCGGAACTTGATGCGAAACCTGATGCGGAACTTGATGGGGAACCTGATGGGGAACCTGATCGCGAACCTGATGGGGATTGGGAACCTGATGGGGAACCTAATGGGGAAACAAATGGGGAACCTGATGGGGAACCTGATGGGGAAGCTGATGGGGAAGCTGATGGGGAACCTGATGGGGAATCTGATGCGGAAACTGATGCGGAACCTGATGCGGAACAAGATGGGGAGCCTGATGGGTAACCTGATGGGGAACTTGATGGGGAACCCTATGGGGAACCTGATGGGAAACTTGATGGCGAGCCTAATGGCGAACCTTATGGGGAACCTGATGGCGAACCTGATGGCGAACCTGATGGGGAACCTGATTGGGAACCTGAAGAAGAACCTGATGGGGAACCTGATGGGGAACCTGATGGGGAACCTGATGGGGAACCTGATGGGGAACCTGATGGCGAACCTGATGGGGGACCTAAAGGGGAACCTGATGGGGAACCTTATGCGGAAGCTGACGGGGAACCTTATGGGGAACGTGATGGGGAACGTGATGGGGAAGCTGTTGGCGAACCTGATGGCGAACCTAATGGCGAACTTAATGGCGAACCTGATGGGGGACCTAATGGGGAACCTGATGGGGAACCTGATGGGGAACCTGATGGGGAACCTGATGCGGAAGCTAATGGGGAATCTGATGGGGTACCTGATAGGGAACCTGATGGGGAACCTGATGGCGAGCCTGATGGCGAACCTGATGGGGAACCTGATGCGAAAGCTAATGGGGAATCTAATGGGGAACCTGATGGGGAACCTGATGGGGAACCTGATGGTGAACCTGATGGCGAACCCTATGGCGAACCTGATGGCGAACCTGATGGGGGACCTGATTGGGAACCTCATGGAGAACTTGATGGGGAAGCTGATGGAAAAGCTGATGGGTAAGCTGATGGGGAAGCTGATGGGGAACCTGATGGCGAACCTGATGGCGAACCTGATGGGGAACCTGATGGGGAACCTTATGGGGAACCTGATGGGGAACCTGATGGGGAACCTGATGGGGAAGCTGATGCGGAAGCTGATGGGGATCGTGATGGGGATACTGATGGGGAACCTGATGGCAAACCTGATGGCGAACCTGATGGCGAACATGATGGGGAACCTGATGGGGAACCTGATGGGGAACTTTATGCGGAAGTTGATGGGGAACCTGATTGGGAACGTGATGCGGAAGCTAATGGGGAAGCTGATGGGGAACCTGATGGGGAAACTGATGGGGCACCTGATGGAGAAGCTGATGGGGAACCTGATGGGGGACCTGATGGGGAACCTGATGGCGAACTAGATGGGGAACCTGATGAGGAACCTGATGGGGAACCTGATGGGTAGCCTGATGGGGAACCTGATGGGGAACCTGATGGGGAACCTGATGGCGAACCTGATGGCAAACCTGATGGCGAACCTGATGGCAAACCTGATGGGGGACCTGATGGGGGCCCTCATGGGGAACCTGACGGGGAAGCTGATGGGGAAGCTGATGGGGAAGCTGATGGGGAAGCTGATGGGGAAGTTGATGGGGAACCTGATGGGGAACCTGATGGGGAACCTGATGGATACCTGATGGGGAAGCTGATGGGGAAGCTGATGGGGAAGTTGATAGGGAACCCGATGGCGAACTTGATGGCGAACCTGATGGCGAACCTGATGGGGAACCTAATGGGGAACAAGATGGGGTACCTGATGGGGAACCTAATGCGGAACCTGATGTGGAACCTGATGCGGAACCTGATGCGGAACCTGATGGGGAACCTGATGGGGAACCTGATGGGGAACCTGATGGGGAACCTGATGGGGAACCTGATGGCAAACCTGATGGGGAGCTTGATGGGGAACCTGATGGGGAACCTGATGGCAAACCTGATGGGGAACCTGATGGAGAACCTGATGGTGAACCTGATGCGGAACCTGATGGGGAACCTGATGGGGAACCTGATGCGGAATCTAATGGGGAACCTGATGGGGAACTTGATGGGGAACCTGATGGGGAACCTGATGGGGAACCTGATGGAGAACCTGATGGGGAAATTGATGGCGAACCTGATTGCAAACCTGATGACGAACCGGATGGCGAACCTGATGGGGGACCTGATGGGGAACCTGATGGGGAAGCTGATGGGGAAGCTGTTGGGGAAGCTGATGGGGAAGCTGATGGGGAAGCAGATGGGAAAGCTAATGGCGAACCTGATAGGGAACCTGATGGGGAACCTGATGGGGAACCTGATGGGGAACCTGATGGGGAACCTGATGGCGAACCTGATGGGGAACCTGATGGCGAACCTGATGGGGGACCTAAAGGGGAACCTTATGGGGAACCTTATGCGGAAGCTGATGGGGAACCTTATGGGGAACGTGATGGGGAACGTGATGGGGAAGCTGATGGCGAACATGATGGCGAACCTGATGGCGAACCTAATGGCGAACATGATGGGGGACCTAATGGGGAACCTGATGGGGAAGCTGATGGGGAACCTGATGGGGAACCTGATGCGGAAGCTAATGGGGAATCTGATGGGGTACCTGATTGGGAACCAGATGGGGAACCTAATGGCGAGCCTGATGGCGAACCTGATGGGGAACCTGATGCGGAAGCTAATGGGGAATCTGATGGGGAACCTGATGGGGAACTTGATGGGGAAGCTGATGGGGAACCAGATGGTGAACATGATGGCGAACCCTATGGCGAACCTGATGGCGAACCTGATGGAGGACCCGATTGGGAACCTGATGGAGAACTTGACGGGGAAGCTGATGGAAAAGCTGATGGGTATGCTGATGGGGAAGCTGATGGGGAACCTGATGGCGAACTTGATGGCGAACCTGATGGGGAACCTGATGGGGAACCTGATGGGGAACTTGATGGGGAACCTGATGGGGAACCTGATGGGGAAGCTGATGCGGAAGCTGATGGGGAACCTGATGGGGAACCTGATGGGGAACCTGATGGCAAACCTGATGGCGAACCTGATGGCGAACATGATGGGGAACCAGATGGGAAACCTGATGGGGAACTTTTTGCGGAAGCTGATGGGGAACATGATGGGGAACGTGATGCGGAAGCTAATGGGGAAGCTGATGGGGAACCTGATGGGGAAACTCATGGGGCACCTGATGGAGAAGCTCATGGGGAACCTGATGGCGAACTTGATGGGGAACCTGATGGGGAACCTGAAGGGGAACTTGATGGGGAACCTGATGGGGAACCTGATGGGGAACCTGATGGGGAACCTTATGGCGAACCGGATGGCGAACCTGATGGCGAACCTGATGGCGAACCTGATGGGGGACCTGATGGGGGACCTCAGGGGGAAACTGATGGGGAAGCTGATGGGGAAGCTGATGGGGAAGCTGATGGGGAAGCTGATGGGGAAGTTGATGGGGAACCTGATGGCCAGCCTGATGGCGAACATGATGGCGAACTTGATGGGGAACCTGATGGGGAACCTGATGGAGTACCTGATGGGGAACCTGATGCGGAACCTGATGTGGAACCTGATGCGGAACCTGATGCGGAACCTGATTGGGAACCTTATGGGGAACCTGATGGGGAACTTGATGGGGAACCTGATGGGGAACCTGATGGGGAACCTGATGGCAAACCTTATGGGGGACCTGATGGGGAACCTGATGGGGAACCTGATGGGGAACCTGATGGGGAACTTGATGGGAACTTGATGTGGAATCTAATGGGGAACCTGATGGGGAACTTGATGGGGAACCTGATGGGGAACCTAATGGGGAACCTTATGGGGAACCTGATGGGGAAACTGATGGCGAACCTGATTGCGAACCTGATCGCGAACCGGATGGCCAACTTGATGGGGGACCTGATGGGGAACCTGATGGGGAAGCTGATGGGGAAGCTGTTGGGGAAGCTGATGGGGAAGCTGATGGGGAAGCTGATGGGGAAGCTGATGGGGAAGCTGATGGCGAACCTGATGGGGAACCTGATGGGGAACCTCATGGGGAAACTGATGGGGAACCTGATGGGGAACCTAATGGCGAACCTGATGGGGAACGTGATGGCGAACCTGATGGGGGACCTGAAGGGGAACCTGATGGGGGACCTTATGCGGAACCTGATGGGGAGCCTGATGGAGAACCTGATGGGGAACTTGATGGGGAACCTGATGCGGAAGCTGATGGGGAACTTGATGGGGAACCTGATGGGGAACCTGATGGGGAACCTGATGGGGAACCTGATGGGGAGCCTGATGGGGAACCTGATGGCGAACCTGATGGCGAACCTGATGGCGAACCTGATGGCGAACCTAATGGCGAACCTGATGGGGGACCTGATGGGGAACCTGATGGGGAACCTGATGGGGAACTTGATGGGGAACTTGATGCGGAAGCTGATGGGGATTCTGATGGGGAACCTGATGGGGAACCTGATGGGGAACCTGATGGGGAACCTGATGGCGAACCTAATGGGGAACCTGATGGGGAACCTGATGGGGAACCTGATGGGGAACCTGATGGGGAACCTGATGGTGAACCTGATGGCGAACCCTATCGCGAATCTGATGGCGAACCTGATGGGGGACGTGATGGGGAACCTGATGGAGAACTTGATGGGGAAGCTGATGGAGAAGCTGATGGGTAAGCTGATGGGGAACCTGATGGGGAACCTGATGGCGAACCTGATGGCGAACCTGATGGGGAACCTGATGGGGAACCTGATGGGGAACCTCATGGCGAACCAGATGGGGAACGTGATGGGGAACCCGATGGGGAACCTGATGGGAAACGTGATGGCGAACCTGATGGCGAACCTGATGGGGAACCTGATGGGGAACCTGATGGGGAACCTGATGGGGAACCTGATGGCGAACCTGATGGCGAACCTGATGGGGAACCTGATGGGGAACCTGATGGGGAACGTGATGGTGAACCTGATGGCGAATTGCGAACCAAATCGCGAACCTGATGGGGGACCTGATGGGGAGCCTGTTGGAGAACTTGATGGGGAAGCTGATGGAGAAGCTGATGGGTAAGCTGATGGGGAAGCTGATGGGGAACCTAATGGTGAACCTGATGGCGAACCTGATGGGGAACCTGATGGGGAACCTGATGGCGAACCTGATGGCGAACCTGATGGCGAACCTGATGGCGAACCTGATGGGGAAGCTAATGGGAAAGCCGATGGGGAACCTGATGGGGAACGTGATGGGGAACGTGATGGCGATCTTGATGGCGAACCTGATGGCGAACCTGATGGGGAACTTGATGGGGAACCTGATGGGGAACCGGATATCGAACCTGATGGCAAACCTGATGGCGAACCTGATGGGGGACGTGATGGGGGACATGATGGGGAACCTAATGGGGAACCTGATGGGGAAGCTGATGGGGAAGCTGATGGAGAAGCTGATGGGGAAGTTGATGGGGAAGCTGATGGCATACCTGATGGGGGACCTAATGGGGGACCTGATGGGGAACCTGATGGCGAACTTGATGGCGAACCTGATGGGGAACCTGATGGGGAACCTGATGGGGAACCTGATGGGGAACGTGATGCGGAACCTGATGGGGAACCTGATGGGGAACCTGATGGGGAACCTGATGGGGAACCAGATGGGGAAGCTGATGGGGAAGCTGATGGGGAACCTGATGGGGAACCTGATGGGGAAATTGATGGGGAACCTGATGGCGAACTTAATGGCGAACCTGATGGGGAACCTGATGGGGAACCTGATTGGGAACCTGATGCGGAACCTGATGCGGAACCTGATGCGGAACCTCATGGGGAACCTGATGGGGAACCTGATGGCGAACCTGATGGGGAACCTGATGGTGAACCTGATGGGGGACCTGATGGGGAACCTGATGGGGAACCTGATGGGGAAGCTGATGGGGAAGCTGATGGGGAACCTGATGGGGAACCTAATGGGGAACCTGATGGCGAACTTGATGGCGAACCTGATGGGAAACCTGATGGGGAACGTGATTGGGAACCTGATGCGGAACCTGATGCAGAACCTCATGGGGAACCTGATGGGGAACCTGATGGCGAACCTGATGGGGAACCTGATGGTGAACCTGATGGGGGACCTGATGGGGAACCTGATGGGGAACCTGATGGGGAACCTGATGCGGAACCTGATGCGGAACGTGATGGGGAACCTGATGGGGAACGTGATGGTGAACCTGATGGGGGACCTGATGGGGAACCTGATGGGGAACCTGATGGGAAAGCTGATGGGGAAGCTGATGCGGAAACTGATGGGGAACTTGATGGGGAACCTGATGGGGAACCTGATGGGGAACCTGATGGGGAAGCTGATGGGGAAGCTGATGGGGAAGCTGATGCGGAAGCTGATGGGGAACCTGATGGGGAACCTGATGGGGAACCTGATGGGGAACCTGATGGGGAACCTGATGGCGAACTTGATGGCGAACCTGATGGCGAACCTGATGGCGAACCTGATAGGGGACCTGATGGGGGACCTCATGGGGAACCTGACGGGGAAGCTGATGGGGAAGCTGATGGGGAAGCTGATGGGGAAGCTGATGGGGAAGTTGATGGGGAACTTGATGGCCAGCCTGATGGCGAACATGATGGCGAACTTGATGGGGAACCTGATGGGGAACCTGATGGAGTAGCTAATGGGGAACCTGATGCGGAACCTGATGTGGAACCTGATGCGGAACATGATGCGGAACCTGATTGGGAACCTGATGGAGAACCTGATGGGGAACCTGATGGGGAACCTGATGGGGAACCTGATGGCAAACCTGATGGGGGACCTGATGGGGAACCTGATGGGGAACCTGATGGGGAACCTGATGGGAACCTGATGCGGAATCTAATGGGGAACCTGATGGGGAACTTGATGGGGAACCTGATGGGGAACCTGATGGGGAACCTGATGGGGAACGTGATGGGGAAACTGATGGCGAACCTGATTGCGAACTTGATGGCGAACCGGATGGCGAACTTGATGGGGGACCTAATGGGGAACCTGATGGGGAAGCTGATGGGGAAGCTGTTGGGGAAGCTGATGGGGAAGCTGATGGGGAAGCTGATGGGGAAGCTGATGGGGAAGCTGATGGCGAACCTGATGGGGAATCTGATGGGGAACCTCATGGGGAAACTGATGGGGAACCTGATGGGGAACCTAATAGCGAACCTGATGGGGAACCTGATGGCGAACCTGATGGGGGACCTGAAGGGGAACCTGATGGGGAACGTTATGCGGAACCTGATGGGGAACCTGATGGAGAACCTGATGGGGAACTTGATGCGGAAGCTGATGGGGAACCTGATGGGGAACCTGATGGGGAACCTGATGGGGAACCTGATGGGGAACCTGATGGGGAACCTGATGGGGAACGTGATGGGGAACCTGATGGCGAACCTGATGGCGAACCTGATGGCGAACCTAATGGCGAACCTGATGGGGGACCTGATGGGGAACTTGATGGGGAACTTGATGCGGAAGCTGATGGGGAATCTGATGGGGAACCTGATGGGGAACCTTATGGGGAACCTGATGGCGAACCTGATGGGGAACCTGATGGGGAACCTGATGGGGAACCTGATGGGGAACCTGATGGGGAACCTGATGGTGAACCTGATGGCGAACCCTATGGCGAACCTGATGGCGAACCTGATGGGGGACCTGATGGGGAACCTGATGGAGAACTTGATGATGAAGCTGATGGAGAAGCTGATGGGTTAGCTGATGGGGAAGCTGATGGGGAACCTGATGGCGAACCTGATGGCGAACCTGATGGGGAACCTGATGGGGAACCTGATTGGGAACCTGATGGCGAACCTGATGGCGAACCTGATTGAGAACCTGAAGGGGAACGTGATGGCGAACCTGATGGCGAACCTGATGGGGAACCTGATGGGGAACCTGATGGGGAACCTCATGGCGAACCAGATGGCGAACGTGATGGGGAACCTGATGGGGAACCTTATGGGGAACCTGATGGGGAACCTGATGGTGAACCTGATGAGGAACCCTATGGCGAACCTGATGGCGAACCTGATGGGGGACCTGATGGGGAACCTGATGGAGAACTTGATGGGGAAGCTGATGGAGAAGCTGATGGGTAAGCTGATGGGGAAGCTGATGGGGAAGCTGATGGGGAACCTGATGGCGAACCTGATGGCGAACCTGATGGGGAACCTGATGGGGAACCTGATGGCGAACCTGATGGCGAACCTGATGGCGAACCTGATGGGGGACCTGATGGGGGACCTGATGGGGAAGCTGATGGGGAACCTGATGGGGAACCTGATGGGGAAGCTAATGGGGAATCCGATGGGGAACCTGATGGGGAACGTGATGGGGAACGTGATGGCGAACTTGATGGCGAACCTGATGGCGAACCTGATGGGGAACTTGATGGGGAACCTGATGGGGAACCGGATGGCGAACCTGATGGCGAACCTGATGGCGAACCTGATGGGGGACCTGATGGGGGACATGATGGGGAACCTAATGGGGAACCTGATGGGGAAGCTGATAGGGAAGCTGATGGAGAAGCTGATGGGGAAGCTGATGGCGAACCTGATGGGGGACCTGATGGGGGACCTGATGGGGAACCTGATGGCGAACTTGATGGCGAACCTGATGGGGAACCTGATGGGGAACCTGATGGGGAACCTGATGCGGAACGTGATGCGGAACCTGATGCGGAACCTGATGGGGAACCTGATGGGGAATCTTTTGGCGAACCCGATGGCGAACTTGATGGGGAATCTGATGGTGAACCTGATGGGGAACCTTATGGGGAACCTGATGGGGAACCGGATGGGGAACGTGATGGGGAACGTGATGCGGAAGCTGATGGGGAACCTGATGGGGAACCTGATGGGGAACCTGATGGGGAACCTAATGGGGAACCTGATGGGGAACCTGATGGGGAACCTGATGGGGAAGCTGATGGGGAACCTGATGGGGAACCTGATGGGGAACTTGATGGGGACCCTGATGGCGAACTTGATGGCGAACCTGATGGGGAACCTGATGGGGAACCTGATTGGGAACCTGATGCGGAACCTGATGCGGAACCTGATGCGGAACCTCATGGGGAACCTGATGGGGAACCTGATGGTGAACCTGATGGGGAACCTGATGGTGAACCTGATGGGGGACCTGATGGGGAACCTGATGGGGAACCTGATGGGGAACCTGATGGGGAACCTGATGGGGAACCTGATGGGGAACCTGATGGCGAACTTGATGGGGAACCTGATGGGGAACCTGATGGGGAACGTGATTGGGAACCTGATGCGGAACCTGATGCAGAACCTCATGGGGAACCTGATGGGGAACCTGATGGCGAACCTGATGGGGAACCTGATGGTGAACCTGATGGGGAACCTGATGGGGAACCTGATGGGGAAGCTGATGGGGAAGGTGATGGGGAACCTGATGTGGAACTTGATGGCAAACCGTTGCCAGACTCCTCGGAGGCGAGGTATGCTGCGAATCGTGGCTTCCTGAATTGTCGTGAAGGCTTTGCTCGTTGGAGGCAAGTAGCAATCGTGGTGCGATGTTTCTTCATGGCGATCCTAAGAACTAGTTTTGGCGAGAGGGTCAGAATGTACGGATCAACCGTGCGATTCATGCTTTGAATATTCCGCGGAAGACACTTATTAGTCCAGCAGAAACGCGTACAGTGCAGGAAAACTGTTAAGCGCATGTTTTGAGGGTACTAGCGTGTGCACATGACGAGCGATGCTGTTAATGTTTGTTCTTTCCAATTATCTCCCCGTCTCTCTTTACTGTCTCGCTCCACTTGCTCTGCGGCGTGGCAGTGTGAGATGACGGCGTGGGTTAGTCCGAGCGCCATATTCATGTGGACCAACGCCAACATCGCTAAGTTCAGCCAACAGACGCGATGCCGCAAGGTACGAGAGATCTGATGCAATCTGACACGATCTGGCACGATCTGACGCGATCCGACGCGATCTGACGCAATCTCCTGAGAGACTGATACGATGCTTAAGAAGCACACCATGCGCGTATGGACGGACGCGGTTCATGTGACCGACGAGGGGCGGAGACTTCAAAGTAAAAGTCGCTTCAGGCGTCTCGCGCTTCCTATGAGAGACGAAACTGCGCACTCGCAACACCTGCTGCATTCACGTGTGGTCACTCACGCACTCGTACCCTTGGTCCGTGTATTCTTACCCCTCTCATGCGCTCAGAAAAATCTCCAAGATTTCAAGGCAGCGTTCGAGGAGGCTCAGGAGATCCACAGCAGGACCAAGAGGAAGTCGGCTGGGTGCACTGGAGCAGCAGGAGGGCTAGCTGCTAACGCGGCCTCAGCACCTGTAAGCAACCCATGGCTTGAGCTCCTGTTCTTCCAGCTGTCACTCACCTCGTCCTCTCTCCTTTCTCCCTTCCCTCCCAGCAGTACCCGGCCTGGACCACAGAGGAGTCTCTTTCTCCCCTTATCCCTCCGTCTCTCTGCACTTCCAGCAGCCTCAGCATCATGGCGCTCTGCACGGCTGTGGCAGGTACAGGTAAGGGCATGGGGGTGAAGTGTGGGGTGGGTTGGTGGGGAGCATTGGAGCAAGCGGGGAGTTCACTGCCATGGGGGCAGCATCACCTGGGGTGGGTGAGTGAGGGGAAAGGGGCTGAGTACCCTAGGGTGGGTGAGTGAGGGGAAAGGGGCCGAGTCCCCTAGGGTGGTTGAGTGAGGGGAAAGGGGGCGAGAGGTGAGGTAAGCTGAGTATGGGTTGGTGGGGGTAGGTTGTTGGGTGTGTGGATAGGTGTTCCGGGTTGGGGTTGGCTGTGTGGCTGAGGGTGGCTGGGATTCTGTGGGTAGGTGGGTATTTGTGCGTGGGTGTTTGGGTGATTTTGGGTAGGTGAGTTGGTGCATGGTTGGGGGTTGGGTTTGTGGCTTGGATGGATGGTTCTGGGTTGGTGGGTAGGTGTATGGTTGGGGGTTGGGTGTGTGGGTTGTATGGGTGCTGGATTGTTGGGGATGGGTGGATGGGTGGGTGTGAGTTTCTGGCTGGGTGTTTTGAGGGGGTGGGTGGTGGGTGTTTGGGTTGGGATGGTTGGGTGGGTCTGTGGTTGAGTGAATGGGTGTTTGAGTGGGTGGGCAGTGTGGGGGCCTGAATTCCCCAGGGTAAGTGAATTGAGAGAGCGAGGACAATGGTGAGTTGAAACCCCAGGGTGAGTTGAGTGAGGGGCAATGGTGGGGGCAATATGTTGTGTGTTCTGAATGCATTGTGTGTTCTGAATGTGTTGTGTGTTTTGGATGTGTTGTGTGTTTTGGATGTGTTATGTGTTCTGGATGTGTTGTGTGTTCTGGATGGTTGGTTTTTTGCTCACGAGTGGGAAGTGTGGTGGGAGTGGTGAGAGTGGTGGTGGTGGTGAGCGCCTTCACACCCTACAGCTGCCCCTCTTGTGTGTGAAATGGCAATGCCATGGTGTGGCATGGTATCTGCGGAGAAAGGATGATGGGTCAAGGAGTATGGCGGACTTGGCACTTCATGTATTATGCTCGTTCGGTACCAAATATATAGTTGTTGCATATGCACAAGAACCTCGCATTTTATGCGCGAAATATGGTAATCATTTGGCTCAACAGATAGGGAGATTCAGATGAATTTCTTAGTGACATGCTCCATTGTGTCTGGCTCTGTTTCTTGATGTCTTTTCGTGCTGATCCTCCTTTTCCGCCTCATATAGGCTCTAATTTGTTTTCTCCCTTAACTACCATGATGCAAAGTCCATTTAGTACCCACAAATGAATGCCCAAACCGGATGCAATCATATAACAGTGATTTGTTAGTTGTACAGCAGAGACACAAGTTTTTGTGACAGCCATGTCTCTTAGAGTAGCCAATCTATACTGAAATTGACGTTGGTGGAATGAACTACAGTAGCCTGGTTGGATTGAAAGAGCGTCTCGTGCGAATCCACCCAAGTTGTAAGGGGGTGTCCGAAGTGAAACGTCGACATCCGCTGACATCCGTTTGGGGTTGTCGATGAATATCAGCCCTCGGATCGGGGATTCCGACCGTCAGGATTCGCCGACATCCATCGACGTTTCACTTCGGACACGCCCTAAGCCTCACGCGTCGCACGCGTACACTGGGGTCACTGAACGACGCGGAAGAAGTGGTGGTTTCTCCTAACCCTGAAAATTTCGGAGGGGTGCACGCACTTTGTGCTAGGTTGGATTGGGTTGTGGTTTGTACAGATTAGGACCGCCACCCGCGTTTGTTCGTTTGGTTCTGTCGCTGGTACTGATTCACCCACAAATGCGGTAACGGAAATTACAAAATGAAAAGACCACCCTTTCCATCGTCTCATACTGCCTTTGTCGTTTACGATGGTCTTTACCAGTGCCACACAAGAAATGGTTGACGCGGCACAGAATCAGGTTGATTGGCCCTAAGGGTCGTTTCAACGGGGTTGGAGACGGTACTGTACGTCTCATGAGAAGCTGCGGCTGGATACAGTACGGTACCTTGAGATGGTGGAGAATCAATATTGGACTTGGGACCATCGATCCTTGACACGACAATGGCTACAGTTCTTGTACAGAGAACTGTACTCGTTGGGAGAGTGATCTCCTCAGCCAACGGGATGGGTCGGGTTGGGGGAGGGGAGGTGTACTCGTTCGTTACTATTAGTAGCCACAAATTTATGCCACAATTCTTGCGCTGAAATAGTAGCCTCGCACTAAATCCTGGATTAGTGCGAAAGCTTTCGACTTCTTTGCGAAATCCTGGACGACAATGCGAGAGTCCTGCATTACCCTGACCCCAGTTTTCAGCCTATCTCCGATCTTCCCGATGCCGTAAACCTACAGTGCTCCCTCCATCACCCAGCAGGTTATCTCGTGTCAACGTCGCACTTCCGTCTCCCAAAACGCCACCTTTATCAAGATGGCTCCCTTTATGACCAAGCTCTCACTCCTCTGGCGTCCCTCCCGCACCAACGCGGGGAGCACAGCCAAGTCGCCGCGCTCCACGGACAAATCATTTCCTGCCGAGCCAAGAGTAGCCCGCAGCTCCACCTCTCCAGCGTCGATACTGCACACCAGATTCACCGCAGATCCGCCAGAAGCCGCCTCGATAGAAGCATCAGACACCCAAGCTTCGCACGCGACCGAGCAGTGTCCGGATAGTTGGTGCATCGTCCCTACCACGCCGAGGGAGAGTCTCAACGAGCCCGCGCACGGAATAAGCAGCAGCGGCATTCGCGGCGAGAATGGCTACAGCATGGCACGCCTAGCAGATGGATTATTCGGCAGCTGCAGCGTGGCTAGAAGGGGTCACACCATTAGCTTCGGCAGCAACGGAGGCCTATCCTTGGATGTCGAACAGTCGCTACAGGATAACGACGACTTCCCGTCGCGTCCTGCTGACATAGACGAAGCAGAGCCATGCAATAATCTCGATAATGATCGCGACCTCGAGTCGCCGTACCCGACCGCCATTATTCTTCGCAGCAGCACCGGCGGCAGCAGTTCCGTCGACACTGTCACGTGCGCCGCCGTCATTCCCGCGATCCCTAGTTGTAAGCCCGCAAGCGGCGGCAGTGCGGGCGATGGTGCGCCGTTATCGCCGTCGCTGGGCAACGGTCCGGTATCGCCGCCGCCCGCCACGGCCTTCATTAGCTCCACCCCCACCGGCGGCTCCGCGAGTGCTCGCACGCCCCGCCTGCGTGTGTCGTTCGCGCCGTTGCGCGTGGATGACCAGAGCGCTGATAGGCATGCGGAGGTTGCGGCGGAGGCCGAATCGGGGAAAGGCGGAAGGCGGAGGAACGCAGCGGCGGGGCCGGAGGAGGGGGAGACAGCGAGTGTTTCGGGCGCAGTGGCTGGCGAGGGGGGTCGAAGTTGGGAAAGCCAAGGATGCGGGGAAAGGGCGGGCGGGAGGAGAGATTTGTTGGGGGAGCTGGCGGGTTGGGCGAGGAAGGGGGCGGGCGATCGGGCGACACACGAGAGCTACGACGAGTGCGCGGAAGCGACGGGTAGCGGATTCGAATCGCAGGGGACGGAGGCCGACGGGCGCGCGGAGGGAGGACCGCGCGGAACAACAGAACAACCGCCGGGCCCGCAAGCCAAATCCGCGCAGCCCGGATCGTCGCGGCAGGGTAACAAGGGGGCCCCGCGGGCGGTAGTGGGGGAGCGGCGCAAGGGGCGGCGGTTCGAGCACATGGTGGTGACCATTCCGGACCGGGAAGAGTACCCCGCTTTCTCCGGCGCGCGGTCGGCCACCGGGGGAAAGAGAACCGCGGAGGGCAGGATGGATGGCGAATCGGGTGGGACGGCTGGTAAGGAGCGAGGAACGAGGGACGGTCCTGCATCGGTGAGAGGAAACGGAGGAGCGGGAGGGAGGGGAGGGCGGGGAGGAGGAGGAGAGAGAGCGCCTAGCGAGGTTCCTGGGTCGTTCTCGTTTAACGCGGGCGACGATCGCGACGAGCCTAGCCTCGAGCGCAACATTACGTGGACCGCGGGCGGCAGTAGCAGCAGAAGCGGGGGGAAGGGCGGCAAGAGCGCGCAGGGGGAGAGCTCGTTCGCGCAACGATCAGCGGTGACGAGGAGGGAAGAGTGGGGAGCGGAGGGGCGGCGGGGTCGAGACAGCGGCGCGGAGTGGCAGGCGGGCGAGGAGAGGAGCCGCAGCGGGAGAATGGTATCAGATCCGCAGCTGAATAAGGCCAAGACGCTCTCCGGACCGCTCACCGTGTCGCGCCGAGCATTGGCGGCGAGCGCTCCTAGAGGCGCGGGGGAAGGCAGGAGCCGCGCCGTGCCCGTAGCCCCCACCCCCCGTTCCGCCGCCAAAGGCCTCCCGACCCCACGGGCGCGGCAAGACGTGAGTCCACCATGGGCGGTGAACAACCCGCACGCCTCGCGCTCTTTCACTGACCGCCAAGGACCTAGCCCCGCGCGCGGGTGCGCTTCCCCGCGCTCCCGCTCGATCAAGGAGTTGCCTGGAAGAGGCGCGCCTCCCGCCGTTCCCCCGTCCCCGTGCGCGCCTAAAGGTGGGGGGGCGGGTGCGCCCAGCAACGCGTTGTCCCCGCGATCGCCCCCCGGTTGGTCTTCCGCCTCGGCTGCGCCTGCAGCGCGTGATGCGTCGCTTGCTGCCGCGACGCCCCGCTCCGCGCGAGCGGGCGGAGGGACGGGGGCTGCGGGCACTGGGGGGGGAAGCGCGGGGTCGCGGAAGCAGCAGAGGGGGGCGGAGGAGAGGGAGAGGCGGAGGGATGAGAAGGAGGAGCAGAAGATGGCACAGGCAATGCGAATCATGGAGAAGCTAAGGAGTGAGGCGAGAGGGGGTGAGGGGGAGGAGGGGGAAGAAAGGGGGGAGGAGTATGAGGTGGAGGAGGATGAGGGGGAGGAATGGGAGGTGAGGTCTGTGAACAGTATCCGGAGCAAAGGCGGTGCAGGGCAGAGGGAGATGCAGCGCCAGGCACTGCCGCAGCAGCAGCAGCAGCAGCAGCAGCAGCAGCAGCAGACAGTGGCAATGATGCAGGTGCTGCCACAGTTGCATCAGGGCGAACAGCAGGCAATGCTGGTGCAGCAGGCGCCCATGCTTCAGTTCCCGGCGCAGCTGATGCAGCAGCAGACGCTGCACCTGTCGTCACATGCCCTGCAGCAGTTGCAGTTGCAGCAGCAGACGCTGTCGCAGCTGCAGGCACAGATACAGCAGCAGATGCAGCTGAACGCGCAAGTGCAGGCACAGGCACAAGCACAGGTGCAGGCACAAATGCAGGCCCACGCACTGACTCCGGGCCAAGCGCCCCCCGTGATGCTTTCAAGTGCCCTGTCTTTACCATGCCCTGTCCTTCCCCCATTCTCCGCTACCCCCTTGGAGCAGCCCTATCAGCTGCAGACCGCTCTTCCTGTAGCAGTAACAGCAACAACAGCAGCAGGAATAGGGGAGTACGCAACAGCAGGACCAGCAGTGGCAGGAGCAAGGGTGGCAGCAGCAGGCATGGGCCACAGCGCACCGAGCAGCATGAATGATCCCCATGCGCCACAGCCATTCCACACTCGCCCCCCTGCACTCGCCTCTACCACACCCATTCCCCCGCACTTTCCACTACCACCACAGCAGCAGATCCAGCCGTCCCCACGCTGGCAGCAGCCTCAGGCAATGCAGCAGGCGAGAGGCAGTGGCGGTGGGCGTGTAGCGGACAGGGATGGTGGCGGGCTGCGAGAGGCAGCAACATACTGCGGGCCTGCCCGGGAGCAGAGGCCGCTGAGGCGAGCCCAGTCATACGAGACAGGGTACCGGGCTGTCACGGATGGCATGGGGCAGAGGGGCGTGGGCAGAGGCGATGGTGGCATCGTGAGAGGCGGAGGAGGAGCAGGAGGGGGAGGGACGGTTGCGCTATTGTCGCCGAATAGTGATGGGGTGATGTATGACCGCATGCAGGGGCGGGCGCTTGGCTATGCCCCTGAGCAGGTTGGGTTCCCGTTGTTCCATGGGTCAGTGAATAGGAAAATGGAGAGAGGGGGCATGGGGTGGGGGAGTATGCAGATGCAGGGACCGGGTTTGGGCGGCGCAGCAGGCAGGAGAGGTAGCATGAGTGAGCAGCAGGGAGCGGAAGGGGGTTCATGGGGGTATGGACCGTTTGGTGAAGAGGGTGGGCCACAGGGGGCGGAGGAGGAGGAGGGGAGTGAGTGGGAGGTGGTGTCAGAAGTGGGGGAGTGGGAGGTGACGAAAGCTGGAGGTGGGAGAGTGGGGAGTGGGAAAAGAAATGGCAGGGGTGAGGCCATGCATGGGGGCAGTGGTGGCATGAACGAGGGTCAGGATGGGCATGGCCAAGGAACAGGCAGCAACAGAAACCGAAGCGGTTCAGACTGGTGCTACATGGCGCAGGCACCCGTTCGGGCACCTGTGCAGGCACCTGTGCAGGCACCTGTGCAGGCAGGGAGTGGAGAGCAGAGGCAGGATGGGGAGGAGACCGGGGAGTATGCACAGGAGGAACAAGAAGGGCCGGAGCTGTATCGTGATGGCGACGAGGGGAGTGCTGATCTGTACTGTGAGGCCAAGGAGGGGTGGAGGGGTGAAGATGAGAACGGGTCAGGTGAGTTGTATGTTGAGGATGATGACGTTGCCGTTGCTCGGGCAGTAACTGTGCCTGTGGATGGCCAGGGGCAGCAGAGATGGGCTGGTGGGGGAGATGGAGCATGGCAGGGCAGGTGGAGTGGCAGCTACGGTGAGGAGGATGAGTAATAGCCTGATGATTCCAGAAGCGTTACCAACCCGGCATGTGTGTGGGAGAGGGTGTGTGTGTGGGTGGCGTGGGTTTGAGCATTTCAACGAGGGGCTTGCACTGGGTCCTCCAGTGCTTTGCTTCAATACACTGACCATTCGCTGACCTAGCTACACTTCAGGGCCTCAGATATCAGGATGATTTATCTTGATTCTCCTGAATTCAGTATAGCTGTGGGGTCCCAGTCCTGGAAAAACAGCATAAGTGAAAAAGTTGTCCTGGAATTTCAGTATAGGTGTTAAGTTGCGTGCTGGAATTTCAGTATAGACATGTAGGTTCAGCCCTGATGGTTCTGTGTAGTGTTGAGAGTCGTCCTGAATCTAGTACTGCGCCAATTTCGCCCGGGGCCGAGTGTACCCAACCACCGACCAGGTACTGCGTTACTTTTTTCGCCGTAATTGACGCCCTGATTTTGATGCCTCTGCTGAGAACCACGCCGCGCCAACCGTGGCAACCTGCATTGCTGTAATATCGACCAATGAGAGTGCGCCGCACTCACTTTACACGATGAGGCCATCTTTACACAAACCAACTGTAGGTTCACGCGGGGTTGGTTTGGATGGCAAGGTTCAGGCAGGAATCTTTCTGATTCCCTCGAGCGCTCCTTCCTCTCCATCTTGCTGTTGAGTGCCTACCAAACCCCTGGCTCACTCCCAAGAATCTTTGTTTCCCCCGTGATTTTGCTAGCTCGTCGTAGGTTTGTCTCAGAGCACAATCGACCACTGCTGTTCGCCCATGGCTGACCCATCGCCGGCGGGCGATGGTGAAGCACCCGCCATGCCTGACCCAACGGTCGGCCCAGTAGGGTTGACAGGCCTCGATTTCTTGCGCACCAGGCCCGTTCAGCCGCCGCCACCACCCACGGTAGATGTTGCCGCTGTCGCTGCTGCAACCATCCCTTCGCCGTCTCAGCCGCCCGTGCCTTCTCCCTCGACAGCAGCACCGGTCGTGGTTGATAACGAGCCTTTGCCTCCGCCGATTCGTACGCAGTGGGAGTGCTCGAAGGCCGCTGGGACAACCCGGAAGGGACCTCCGAGCAAGAAGGTCTCCGCGCAGCGATACCACCAGACGAAGTTGTCCTTCGTCCGTGCATCAGACAACACGACGGTGCTGTCTGTCTCCACGCAAGATCCGGAACCCACTGTTCTTATTGAAACCGCCCCCACTGCTTCCTCTGACACCGAAATACCCAACATCGCTGAGGAGAAGTACCAGGAAGCTCTGCTCATGTTCAAGAGGAGGTGGAACGAAGACTTCCCGTGGCTTATCATTTGTCAAACCAAGTATGGTTTCCCTTCTATGAAGTGCACCGTGTGTATGGAGTATGCAGGCACAGGAACGAACTTCGGGAAAGGCGAGGGGGCACTGGATGTGCAGACGCAAGCCATGCAGCGACATCAGCGAACAACGAAGCACAAGGACGCTATTCGCAACCAGGAGCTGGCGTTCGCGAACGCAACCGGGCAGCATCGCATCCCCGACTGCCCGACGGCGCGTGACCTCGAGCATGATGCTGTGCAGTCGCTGCTGGACACGCTGTTGTTCATTACAAGGACCGACGCACCCATCGAGATGTGGGTGCAACTCGTACGGCACCTTGCTTCCCGCGGTACGCCAGGATTCCCAAAGAATGGCTACGGCGCTTATTATACAACGTAAGTGATGCCTCTGATTTTTAAAGTGACAACTTGGTTGCCGTAACGTACGGGTTTCCTAATTGTGTCTGCGCAGGTACGGGTTCCAGGAACTGGTATCAGCTACAGCGACTTATCTTCGTGCGAAGCAACGCGAGCTCATAGACTCAAGCCCCTTCATTGGCTTGAGCTGTGATGAGAGCACCGACCGCGTGCGAGGGAAGCACATGATTGTCTTCGTCACGTTTTTGAGAGAACACGAGGTGACCACGGAATTTCTCAGGCTCTTGACCGTGGAGAAATGTGACGCATGATCACTGTATGCAGTGCTCGTCGGCTGCCTCGACAGCATCAACGTGCCCCTAGGCAAGATCGCAGGGATCAGCACCGACGGCGCTCCAGTCATGCTCGGCGGCACCAACGGTCTCACTGGGCGGCTTCGACTCTGCATCCCGCACCTGGTTTCGTGCCACTGTATCGCACACAGGTGGGAATTTTACATAGCCTGTTATATTTATGCGTTCGGACTGTCTGACGCCCTTGTTGCTTTGTGCCTGGCAGGGAGGCACTTGCTGCAAAGGACTCTGCTGAGGCCCTCCCGGAGCTCCAGATGGTTGACGTCCTCATCCGTGCTTTGGCGGAGCATCTCGGACGCAGCTCGACCTCGCATGCAACATTCAAGGAGATCCAGTCAGTCTTCACCCGGACAAACCTGGAGCTGCAAGGCATCCACGCCGTCCGCTGGTTAAGCCGTGGTGACGCGATTGCGCGGTTCGTGAAGGTGCTTCCGGCGGTGGTGGTCCTCCTCGAGCAGCTGGATAAAACCTGTTACCAAATGGTCACCAGCCTGAAGTTTCACTTTTACGTATACTTCCTGGCGGATGTACACGTCGAGCTGAACATGCTCAACCTTCTCTTCCAACGGCGCGAGGTATTTGCCACACATTTTGCAAAAGCGAGGTCTCAAACGAACTGATACTTACCGTTCTTTTATGTCGTCTGTCCTCCCTGCCCCTCAACCCAATCACAGGTGGACTTGACAGCGGTTCACTCCCACATGAGGCGCCTCGAGGTTTTCATTAGGGAGCGGTACATTGACTGTGGGCAGCAGTTCGGTGCTGGGTCGAGCGCACTGCTATCGCCGTTCCTTGCTCGGCACGGTGCTGCATGCAGCAGGAGCATGAAAGTGCATGGAGTGGACACCGACGGTGTGCCAAGGGAGCATGAGTTCACCCTGCACGAGGAGCCGATTCCTGGCTACGCGGAGGGCGTCGGTGACTTGCCGTCTTGCATTCGGACGTGCCGCTCGTTTGCGACGGAGCTGCTGTACAACCTCGACTTTCGGCTTGGCGACCTGTCGAACCTCAACGCCGCCAAGCTCTTCATGCCAAGGTCATGGCCGCGAGGAAAAGAGGCGAGGGACGCGGAGTGCAAGGGACACATGGAGAAGCTGGCGGTGATGTTCCATGCGCGCGACAGGGACGAGATCCTTCCTGGTGAGTTTCCGTGTCTGTTTACACACTTCACGTTGCAGTGTAAATTGCACCCTTGTGTGAATTGTAAATTGTAGTGTAGACTCCGCCACGTAACCGCCAGAGATGACCCAAAACCCTCGTGTATGGTTTTTTCTAACACCCCACCAAGCAGGTGTCAACAAGCGCGAAGTGCGGAAGGAGATGCGCACTTTCCTATCTGTGCTGTCCGGGGTGCCAAAGGAGGAGCAGCCGTTCCATGTTGGCTTGCGGGCGATATTGTCAACATCGGACTGGCAGCGGACCTATCCGAACCTGGTGCGGCTGTGGGCGGCCGTCGCGGTGTTGCCTCTCAGCACGGTGGAGTGCGAGCGCGGATTTTCGCGCCAAAACGTGATCAAGAGCTGGATCCGGACCAGCTTGCATGACGCGAAGCTGGCCGACCTCATGACGCTCAGCTTGTTAGACTACGACATGGTGTGGAGCGAAGTCGTGGCATTGTGGCGCAGCACCAGGAAGAGGCGACCCACCAAGCGAAAGGCAGCAACTGTGGATGTATCGAGGAGGAGTGGCACAGGGTTCCGAGGGTCACTAGCAGAGAAGCGTGACCATCATCACGCTGCTGAGGAGGGTGATGATGATGCTGTAGACAGTGGAAGTGACAATGCTGAAGACGATGCCTCTGAAGATGATCAGGTGGAGGCAGAGGATGATGATGAGGGGTACTGAAGTGCATGTTCAATATTTACCATAACAATGAGAACTTTCATAAGGGCTCTTAAGTCATTATTACTGTGCCCTGCTCTGCCTGACTGATTGGTCTGTGTGTGTGTGATGTGATTACAAGGGAAACTAAGCTTCTAATAAAGTGCACAGGATAAAGTGAAAAGTAGCACTGACTTGGCAGGATAATGTCACTTGTAGCACTGACCCCACAGCATACCCACCCTTGCTCTATCCTGACAGTTCAGGACAAAATAGGAATTCTTAAAACCTGCCCTAAGTCCACAGGGTACCCTCAAACGAATCTGAGGCCCTGCTACACTTTCTTATGTTCGCTGACCATTTGTTCTCATGTTTACCGTATTATTTTAAATGACCATAATTTCGCACCAATAGGCTATGGATAATAGGTTTTGTTTCTTAGTGTACTTCAATGTGCAATTCTGTAAGGAAAATTCCTTTTCCTTCTCGTCGCGTACACCACTGTAGCACCACAGTCAGCACCGTTACCATTCGCAACCCTCGCATCGACAATCCTCCCGCCACCTTCGCACGTCGCACCCCGATCTCACGGCTCAGCGAGTAACCCGCGCTCTGGGCCTCCGCTTCGACATTCCCCCCAACCTCAGTTCTAGGCCCGTCGCACAACAACCACGGTCCATTACCGTTACCACTGTAGTTTCGCTATATATTCTTCGCTCATGCCTTCGCTCATTGTACTCTTGCTTCGATAGTGCAATTCTCGCTCGATCACTCGATTGCACTCGTAACACTTTGTATTTAGAGCCTACGATCTATTTTTGGACCGCACCCACACCTTCGCTTCCTCACTATCTCAATTTTTGGGGGGGGTAGACGTCTCTCAGCGACACAGCACCGCCGCTCGTAGTGCTCTCTCGTAAGCACGCACGGCCACAATAGAGGCTCTCGCCGAGCTTGCCCGACACCCCCGCCATGGCCGAATTCATGCTCGCGACGTTGACGCAGGAGCAACTTGACCGTCTGGTGCGCCAAGTTGAAGAATCGGCGCTCGAAATTGCGACGCTAACGGCGGAACATGACTCCGCGCGTCAGCAATCCACGGTAAATACTCCAGCGCCACCACACGCACCGACAAATGCATCTGCACAA